AGGGGAAAGGGGAAAGGGGAAAGGGGAAAGGGGAAAGGGGAAAGGGGAAAGGGGAAAGGGGAAAGGGGAGGAAACAACAGTTGGGGGAAGAAAAAAGCCTAAGGACAAACTCAATCCTGCAAAAGGATTAGGAAACCTATAAATCCTGAGATCAAAGCATCCCACATTTGCTAGCTTAAAAGACTTTTCCCGTGCATCTGTATTGGAGAGTATATAAATATGGCAGCTTATTATCAAGARACCCTTTAATTCTTTAATTTATATCACACCACTACTATCAATAACGGCATTAGGAGAATTTCTAAGCTCAGACATACAACTGTAAYCTGACTAGTGTCAGAAAGACAGCAGGTCTCACTGATCTGTTTCCCATTTATAGCAACCTATTAGCAATARGTATTAGGAGCAGCACAGACAGATTAAGGGCAAGTGATTGCTATTCATTTTCTTGCCAGAAAAATATTAGGAAAGTTCTTGCAGTATTTTTCATGGGTAATGTATACCAGAAAGCCATATGTGAAAGAACACCCAAAAAATCTCTACATTTCACTGAAATAAAATACTTCCCTTCTCTTCCTCTGCAATTTTGCATCTTTACACTGTCAKCAAATCTAGCAATTTATCTATACACTAAAGGAAACAAAAATTTACCTTTATAATTAAATCAACATAACCTTTTGTCTCATCACTGGAAACTGGGGTATAGGCTCGGATCACCAGATTACCATTGATTTTTGCAGAGAGGTAAACATGCTGGCCTAAGGAAAAAGAATTAAAATCTGATTATCTATTTTTCATCCCCTGGTTTCAAGGTTTTTTCAGACCTAGGGGATAAGAAAGGGCTGAAACAGGACAGAAAAACAGGTATTTTAACACCTTAGACATAAGCAATGATGGAAAAATTGTTTACAATATAAAAGCTATATCAAAAATCTGTTAGCCTCTGAATCTAGGCAGAAAAAAGTTTATGTAAATAGCTACACAATCCATGATTTATGAAAACCATCATAATCATAGGACATATCATACATGCACATGCACACACTCCTCCTCCAAAGGGCCAAAGGGCTGATCCTTTTCTTTAGCCACAACAAATTACTGAAGTGCATAGTATATGCCTCTTACCTTTGTCCCTAAAAGACATTAGTTGTGATCCAAAGGCTCCTTTAGCTAATAACAATAATTAAAAAAAAAAGTCTGGCATGACAAGTTTGGCTTTTCCCAAATGATATAGCCATATTGTTTTGTGTTCCCTTACTGTGTATTATGCATTAAAGCAATCTATTAATAACCATAACTTCCATGTTTTTTTCCAGTTTAAGTAACCAGTCAGTAGAAAGCACAAAACTTTCTAGAAATTCAACCATATAACATCCTTATAGCACCTACTTTGTGGGATTTTCTATTCTATAAATAGATTTGGTATTTAATTAATGAAAATGCAGGATTTGGATTGGTGCTGCTACCCAGACTACTCAGCATCAGTCCAGCTCTTGTTCTTTTTTCAGAAAGAGCCTGATTTCTGTAACACGGTAAAACAGAGGAGCRCTAGTATGTTACAGAATCACATATTCTGAAAGCACTAGAAAGTAGGAAATTTATAAGAAAATAGTGATACAAAAAGTTTGATACTCATTCACAAGCACTGTCTAGACTTTGATACTGGTAAAAAGCAGAARGCTAAAATCCCCAGAGAGTAATCCGGTCTGTACCAAGTTTCAGCATCTTACTCCTACATTCTTATGAATAAGCCTGGGACAAGCGCAAACACGCACTATGGAGCACTTCTTACATTAATTCACTATTTGTCTGTTTACACAGGCAGGCCAATTACACTTTCCCTTGCAAGCCAGGAGAAAGCCAGGCACAGCATGCAAGATGAGCCCTCAGGGTAGAAACAGGAAGATCTGGAGATGCTTGCAAGACAGCAAGCAAAGCTGTCAGGCACGGTACAGCACAAACAGGCCTACCTTATCTGCCAAATCCAGAGATCAAAAAGGGAGACTTGCCCCTAACACAGACACATAGTTAATTTGAGGTTCAAGGTTCAGTGCCACCTGTTTTTCAGGACACAGGAAAGGAAACTCTGCCAATCCTCGTTTGAAATGAACTTAATGCTATAGAAAGCAAGCCRAAGGGGGAAGTATATAATGCATGCACATAAAACACCTGGAATATTGCAGGTTCTTTTGCACAGAGTAGTTATATTTTCCCCATTGCTCTGCACACATTATTTACAAGCTTCCAAGGCAGAAGAATTGCTCTTTCTCATCGAGGGGTGCACAACTCACTACTATAAGCACCCGCCAGRTATTTTAATTACTACAGCTAAGGTACAAAAACAACAGAGCACACCAGAGACCAAAACCAGAATACAAATAAGCAGCATTAAAAACCTGAACAGACACCATCCCGCTTGTGTCCTGACTAGCTGGTAATTCAGGTCCCAGCTCAGCTTCACTACTCTGACTCCAAAACTATATCACACAATTTAGCACAAGAATAAAGTGCACACAAACGATACCATGACCCACAGTGAAATTTAGCATTTCTCTCTGGTACAGTAGCTTTCAGATACAGTTTTTAACTCCCTGCTCTGCTGAGCACTAAATTCCCATCTTGCTTGGAGAAAGAAGTTAGAAGAATCAGACCTATGAAAAGAGGTRACAAATCCCAAAATCTTAAATAGAGACATGTTTCAGTACCTACCTACAGGCAATCCCAATACATTATCAGAGGAAGGCAGCCCAAAACGGAATTTCTTAGTATCGTGACTGATGTCCTAATACAAAAAGGCAAGACACCGAATGAGGTCACTTCAAAATCCCTCTCCAAACCAACAGGAGGTGCCTTTTTCTTTCTCTCCTCCCGTGCCTAGAGGGGCCCCGTGCAGACCCACCTGCTTGCGGGGTCCCCACTGCAGCCACCTTTGAGGGCGAGGCGGGTTTCCCCCCGCCGCCGAGCCCAGGAGCGCCCGCGACCCACGGCCGCCAACGGTCACCTCCCTCAGCCAACGGCCGCGCGCGACCCCCAACCGCCGCCCGCCCCGGGCCAACGGTCGGCGCACGCGACCGCACCCCCCCCCACCCCCCCCCCCCCCCCCGCCCCGCTCCGACCAACGGCCGCCCGCCCGCGCCAACGGCCGCGCGGCACCTCCTTGAGCAGCAGCGGCAGCGGGTACTTGGCTTGCGGGTCGCGCAGCGTGACGGGGGGGCCCTTGCTGCGCCGCCCGGCGCCCCGGGCCAGCAGCAGCGCGGCCGACACCGCTATCACCACCACGGCGATGGCCACGGGCGCAACCTGCAAGAGAGCAGCAGCGGCGGCGGCGGTCAGCGGCGCCGGGCCAGAGGGACCCGCGGCGCTCGCCCCGCGCCGCGCTCACCGCCAGCGCCTCCATGTCCGCGGCGCCGCTCCCGCTGCGGCCGCTCCCGCTGCGGCCGCTCCCGCCGCCCGGGCCCGCCCCGGCCCGCCCCCTGCAGAGCCGCAAACCGGAGGCACGAAAGGGCGCCCGAGCCACGGCCTCGAGGCAGGCGCGCTCCGGGCACCGGGACCGTCTCCCCACCGGCCGCAGCCCCYTACCGCGGCCCCCGTCGCCGCTGCTCGCCACAGTCCCTCCTGTAAGGACACCCACGTGGAAGCGCTCCAGGCACAGCCACACACACCCCTCGAGTCTAACAGCACCGCTCGCAAGCGAGGAAGACTTGTGCCTTGTCAGCTTGTGCCAGCGTGCTCAGATAAAACTGATTTTCATGCACAAACACATTGCAAAGCCTAATGAAAGGCCACTAAGCTTGCACAAAAGCAGGGCTAAAAGTAAGGCATGGACTGCAAAGCTTGGGCACCAGGGAGAGGCAGCGCTCTGCCCTTTGCTTTGCTGTATTCTCCCCGGATTGCACGTTGCAGTACAGTCCACAGTCCATGTTGCCAAATACTGTCAAACAGACAGCTGACAGTAAAATTAACTAGTGAAAAGGGTCAAGAAATTATTTCCTATTTTCTTCTCCATCCACTGGGCAAAAACTTTACACAACAATAAACTATCATACTAACATACCATTTGGTATCTATGGGTTTCCAAATGCTTTCCCCACCAAAACATGGGACTAAACATCGTTATGGCATCCATAGACTGCAGAATAGGAGGCCAGAGTTGGTGACACACAGAAGCCAAGCACAAGTCTCTGAAGTCCATGTCCATGCCACTAGGTTCAGATTAGTTTATCTAAAATAAAAGGATGCCCACAGGATGCAAATTTCTTTATAAGGAAGAAAAAATAAACAAATAAACRAATGAAAACTTGATCAAATCTATTGGGAAAGCAGGCCAGGAGTAGTTTCCCAGTGTGCCAAGTTATAGACAGTGGTTCAAGAAGGAACTAAAATAATGCATTTGCTGTATTAGTTTTTGGAATGTTTATATTATGACTCCTAGAAAGAACTGACATAAAAATGTATCCACTTTTCTGTGTTACTGATTATGGAAGTCCAAAAGGTTTACAAGMACCATTCTCTTGTAATCCTTCTTTTATATCACTGTTTTTTCTCATCTGACTTCAAAGGCAAGAGAATCAATACCAAAATGTAATGCACTCCTGTATTATGCAGGCTGCAGAAAACAGAGAGGCTGAGGGGTGTCTTATATCTCTGCCAAAGTAAATTAACTCTTTAAGTCAATGTTATAGATGACCACTACCTTCAGAATATCAAAGTTGAAGAACTCCAGGCCTGAACAACTCATTTTCCATAATTTCAGGTATTATCTTCTCCCACTGAGGTGCTATGACCTTGCATTTTCTTACGATAAGGTAATGGTACAGCTGGCAGCAGCTTTCCTCAGTGATACCACCATATATTCACAGGGCAAAAAGCCACTAGGCCTCTCTGAAAACTAAGGAGCATAAGAACAAAAGTAATAGAAAAAAGAAACATTCTTATTTCTCATAATTTATCCCCAAGCTCACAGTATTTTGGAATTTTAGTGTGCTTTTAAACTAATATTACAGTGGGCTTTTAAGGTACTTCGCAATATGACAAATAATTGCCCATCTGGGCAATTAACAGCAGCACTTTTGATAAGAAGTATTAACCTACCCTCATGATCACAGCTCAGTCTTTGAGTAAGGAAGAGGCAAGTAAGGGGTCTTGCAGAACCTGGGAAACATGTGGCACACATACCTTGACACTGAGGWATGACACCCAAGAAGTTCCGAGCCTGCTCTGCTCTTGCTCCTCTGGCTTCCCCGGAGAGGCCACGGGAGCACAGGCAACCAGGAGCGGTGTGACGCACACTGCAGAAAGCTGCTGTCCTAGGCAGGAGAAGGAGAAGGTGACTCAGTAAGGAATTATGAAACAAGTGACTCCAAGAAGATTATGCCGTAAAGCCCAAGAACAACAGTGTTTCTAACATCAGATGTCAGTCTACATGGCCAGAATTTAGATTTCAGGCAACAGTTACTCGCTTTTCAGTCCTATCCTGGGACCTGCTTTAACAATGAACATGCAGTCTCTGTTTTTGTGACGAAGATCTCCTCTTTCCAACAGAAGTTACAAAAACGTAACCTGCAAACGCCATCTAAAGGGTCCATCACTGGCAATGCATTTGGAGTGCTAGCTCACCCATGCATGCACATATGCATGCAGACCATTCCTCAGCAGAAAGCTATTGCTCACAGATGCTTGTATGAACCCAGGGTCAGAGCAGTACTTTTTAAAGAATATGTATTTTTTTAATTCTAAATTTTTTGTTAAGTATAGTGTCAGTACGCAATGCAACRAGTCTTTGCTGCTTCCATACAATGTTACAAAAAAAGACATTTCAATATTGCATGCCAGGAGAAGAAGATTTTTATCCAAGTTTTAAGCACTTGGGGAACCTGATTTGCTTTTGAAAGTAGTACCACACCTTTTGACTGTGGAGTTAACAAACACCTCATGCAACTGGCAAGTAATTCAAGTGGGCTGGGGTGGGGATGACTGTCTACATAGGAAGCAGGATCTAATCATTGGGTACAAAACTGTTGTTGTATACATACATTTTTTAAAGTTCTCCTGAGTTTYTTTTGTCACATAACTTCTTTTTGTCTAGAAGCACTTCCCTAGCATCCATTCCTATAAACCACATCCATAATCCACTGTGGTTTATGTCAAATGCCCTTCTTACACAGCGAACAGCCACGCAATACACTCTAAGGTGTAAGCAGCTCCCTTACAGCTTTCACATCCTTGCATCTTTTGCACAGTAAAAGAATTACTTTTGCAAAACATCACGGTATGTATACTGATCAGCTGCRTGAACACACAGTACTAATGCCAGCTTCTTAGTCCCAAATTCCTTCTTTTTATTTTCCCAAGGTCTTGTAAATCACATGCATAAATAACAAGTTTTAAAARTATATAGAATGTGCTGCACTCTCAAGCATGAGCAGCAGAGACTCTGGTAGCAGCAAATAGGTATCTAGGTCTCCCAGCAGAGATTATTTACTTTTCCTGAAAGACAGTAACAAGACATTTGATTTTGTAAAATATAAAATACRATTCCATTATATGAACTCCATCAGAAGTATTTTTTTATTTTTTAATCAGATTGCATTTGCATCACAAAACATTTCATAATTACATTACTGAAAGGTCTTGGCAGCTTATGAAGACAGGTAAGACACAACAAACAAATCTAGACTACTTGTAAAGCCACAGTAGGAGAAATATGAAAATTCAACATCATATAGCCCAGCAAAAAGTTAGCATCCTAACAATCAAATCATATATAAATAATCTAAGATAGYAGCCCAACTGATACACCTGTAAGCGCATTGCTCCCACCCCGCTCCTGTTTTAAAACCTTTGAGACAAACAGCCATGGAGTCAAAAGGCCCGAATGCATTTACAAACACTAATACCCAGCACAGCACCATTTGCAAAGATAATTGGAAAATGTCATCACAACTTCTTGTGTAAGCAACCATTTGGGCATTAAGCCAACTGCTATTTGCCTTTAAGTGTGCTCAGTTTACAGTGCGTGCATTACACAGCACTGCTTAACTATACCTAGAGCTTAATTAGAAATTTCTCAGGTTTTGCATGGTGCCAGAGCTCTCGACCTGGAATGCTTGCATTTCCAAACACTTTTATCCATTTGAACAGCAAGGTATTTCTTAAACTAGGAACCAACACAGATTGTTTTCATTACTTAATGAAAGCCTGAGCAGTTTTGGAGGTGCCATCTCTGTTACTACTACCCTCTCTTGCAACAGTAGTAATGCCTTCTCTGCATTTGATAACTTCAATAATAAGCAAAAACTATACAGAAGAGCCAGAAAAATGAGTATTTTACACTGCACTGCAATTCAGCCTCCTTGCTGGAGCAGCTGTCACCATATTATTACAGGCATCAGTGGCCAGGTTTCTCAGCTGGTGAGAGTATTTTAACACTTAAAACAGTGAGATGAGGCCCACAAGGACTATCACTTAGATGCATTAAAATATACCCTTTTCCCAACAATTRGGTTGATTCACATCACTAATCTCTACACAATATTCTCATATTCCTCATGGATTCACTACTATCRTCACTGCCCAGGTCCTCTCAGAGCCACAGCTAATGCTCCCATTGACTTTAATAATAGTCTGTCAGTCCTGTTTTGCATGGGTGCTTATTTCATYTCATACCTGCAGCATTTTATACCCTTGTGCACGGTGTTCAAGGACATGCTTGACATATGGCAGTTTATCTTCCCCTCTCCTTTCTTTTAAAACAGTCAGACTTTCAGAAGATTTCAAGTAACTTATGTCTGCCCCAAGAACACACATTTAAGGCCAAAGTCTCCATTCATGTAAATCAGTAACTTCACTGAAGCAAGAATCAGCTACACTGGAATCTGTTCACCAAGCATGAACTAATACACTCTCACCAAGTTTCGCTTTCAATGATACTTGTGCTTTGGAAGTGTCTTACAATGTTGTCCAGCAGAACTGCTGCTTTGACAGTTACACCCCAAAAATGGGAAGATCTACAAAAATGAAAAAGAACAGGGTAAGCTTCACAAAGATCATCAAACAAAAACATTCAGTAAGCTCGTCAAAAAGGACTTGACCATCAGTTCACTCTTCCTAACCACGAGCAAAGCAGCAGTGAGGCAAAGTACTGTTCATCAATAAGAGAAATGTAGTAAATACAGGAACAATACATCCTGAAGAAATAACATTTTCAGAAAGGACTACTGATTTGGACTTCCCTCTTTCTGGGCACTCAGCTAGGATATTCTTAAGAGCCGGAATTTCAGGAAGTGTTAGACCCTACAAAAGGCCTCAAAATCAAAAGGATTATCTTAACTATTTTTTCCATACTTACCACTACTATTAACACTCTGCTTGATCCAGTCAACAAAAGCACCAACATTGGCATATACTCCTGGGTAGCTTTTCTTTCCACAGCCCAAGCCCCAGCTAGTGATTCCATTAAGGGTATAAAGTCCAGAGTCATCTTCTGAAGGACAAACTAATGGGCCACCAGAATCACCCTATACAAGGACAAARGGCTCTTGTTACAAGCTAACATCACTCCTCATTTTTTTTTAAACATTATTTCAGCTATAACAGGCTGCAACTGTCCATGTGTTTAGATCTGAATACTTACAAAAGCTAGAAAAAGACAGAAGCTCACCATTACTCAAGAATTGTACCTTTTTATGTAGTATGAGTAATTTAAACCCTACTATTAAGACTCACTTCTCTGTGAATCAGATACAGCTGGTTTGGAAAGCATGGCTCTTACTGACATTTTAACACTTGCCATTTCAGAACCCATGCAGAATCATACCCCAGATGGGCAGAAAACAAAGTTGATGTGTGCAACTTACTGTGCATGAATCCTTGCCTTCTTCCAGAGGGAACCCAGCACAGATCATCTTCTGGGTCACTTTACTGGCAAGGTTTACGTAATAGCTCTGACATGTGTCCAACACCAGTATGGGGACCTCAAGCTGATGCAGTTTTTTCCCCTTTTCTCTGTCTTGGAGTGAAAGATATCTCAGAAGCCAGCAAAAGCATGAATTCAAGATACCATACCTGCCTCGCTTACCATCACAAACATGAAGGATGAAAAATACCTCCGGGGCCCCTGGCTTATACAGGCAAAGACTTAACACATGAGCTCTGCGTGAACTCAGGCACAGACAAGACTGATGTTACAACATGCAAGACAGTTTTCAGGATACAGCTCCCACAGCTGCCTACCTGCCGGGCGGGCGCCCCATCCGGTGACAACGCACAGCCTCGAGGGCTGCACCGCCCYGTCCGTCGCTGGCAGGCACACGGGCTGCACGTACCGGTTGAATTCCAAGGGCTCCGACAGCCGCACAAGGGCGATATCGCAGTCCATGGTGGTCTTGTTAAAACTGGGATGTATAATAAGCTGCTTTACTGTCCTTTTCTAGGAAAGCAAGAAAATCAGCCTTTTATGACTTACTTTGAAATCTGAGGTTTGAAGAATTTTAGTTTTATGTGTTTCTAAGTCATATATGTGATGCCTTAAAAGGAGGAAATGTTTAAATTTCCTGGATACTGAGCTTTGGACATAATTGCTGGTGAAGGTACAGTTCTGTACTGGTACAATTGCCAGGTACAGAAAAATTGTGGTGCAAATGAAGATTAAAGATAGTAACAATTTGTTGCATTGGGAAGATTTGAGATGATTTGGGACAAAAACTATTTGAGATAATAACTGTTAAAATAGTTTAAGATGGATTTGCATTTTATTATTAAGCATAACTTACAATACCTGTCTGTATTCTTGCTCTGCAAGATCATGAAGTCCCGTGACCACCGTCCATAAGTCTCTGTATGGTTCCCTCAAAAAAAAAAAAAAAAAGAAAGTAGAAAGTAGGGGGAGGTACCTTCTCGAGCTGGTCGAACAGCTTTCATGGAACCTGAGAACCTTATAACCATGAGGGCCAATCCTGGCTGAAAGAATAATGCTGTCCTACAGCAAATAAGCATGTAAGGCCACCTTGCCTTCAGCAACCTAACAATATATTAGAAAGTATTTTAAAGTCCAAATTATTTACAGATTGAATACCTTGACAATCTTTTCTGAATTTGCAAAGTTAAAYATATGCTTTTAAATTTTACCTGACCTTTTAAACCTGATCAATCCTATAGAAATAACTTACTACCACTGTGATTGCAGTATGTATGCAGGGAGCAAAAATATCCTATGCCAGTCTAAGCTTTAAGTAACGGTAACCACMCCAGCCACCCTGGTCAGAACCACCACAGAGCAGAGACGCTCAGTGCAACCACAGACCATCGTGGAGAAGGGGTCCCACCACAACACTCACTTTGATCCAAAGCAGTGAGCAGCTGTGACAACCCATTCTTTGGCAAGAACTGCTCCTCCACAGACATGCTCATCTGAAATCTGTATGCTGACTTGCCAAGGCCATGAGTGTGGTACAGCTTCTTCACCTCCAATTACCCTACTGAAGAGGAACCTGGGCTGATTTGAAGGTATTCCACAAATATTACCTAAAACAGAAAGGATTTATACTGCAAAGAAATCTTCAGGAGATTTAGAAAAGGAATAGCCCATCTACAAGGCAATCTGCAAGCTACCCTCCCTTTTTTCCCTAAACCCCACTTTCCACATTGCAAAAGATCTAAATATTCAGAGATAGCAAGAGGAGGTGATCTCTGCAAAAACACAGCTTTACTAAGGAGAAAACAATTGCTTACAAATGAGTATTTTTAGGTCTCATATAGTTTCAAAAGCTTTGGGCTCAAGTGTACAATGAATATGTAGTTAAGCTATTCTCCATTAAGTACCAGAATTACAAAGGTAAATTCAAAAATTCTGGACATTTTCAACCACCCCCTACTCTTTGTATTTTTCTTCACCACAGCAGGTATGTTTAAAATGACATCAAGGCTGAAATAACGTTAGCGCACTGTTGTAAATGACTTTGCAAGTTAAGGAATAAAAAAAAAAAAAAAAAGGTTCTTTTAAAGCTAAAACACAAGGACTATCTTTTATCCTCTTATTTCCTCAACATCTCTTAATTAAAGGTCTTGAGAAATAACCTAGAGTGTATTTATTAGATAATTGGAGAAAACAGCATCTTTGTTATGTATTCTCATGAAGAAAACTTAGCCCACATTGACTCACCTGTCTCAATCTGTATGTCTTCTGCAGTCATATCCATATCTTTAAGCTYTTCTTCACTATTCGAATCAAAAATATTTAAATCTAGCAAACAAAAATAGAGAAGATGCTAATAGAGTGTCTCAAGTGATATTTTTATATTAAACACCATGTTCATTTCTGTGGAAGGATTAGATTCCTACAGTAGGAATCTGTGCTATTATATCGTCAGATGGTTAAAGCACAGTTTAAAATGCACAAAAATGCTATGACACAAATCTCTGAGATTTAGGGGAGAGTCACTACTTTTCTCTACCGCTCACTAGATCTTCAATAGGTTCACAAAGTCCTTTCACTGAAAAGTTTCCTAGATGAGAATCTCTTAAAGCAAAATGCAGATTCACTGAAGAACCCAGCGTGCTGCCTCAAAGTGGCAAACTCTCAAGTTACTTCTACTACCTGCTACAGGAACAAAAGAGATTGTAGCTCTGAATCCTCCAAAGGCCTCTGTTTCGTCAGAGTGAAAGACAATCAGCATTGTATCAGAGGAGCTCAGAACAGGTGCTGGCAGAGCAAATCCACAAGACGTAGCTAAAGATAAATAAATAAATAAATCACAGCAGATTAAAATGCACTTTTACATGATTTTCTCTTCCAGTAGCAGGCAATCAGTATTCATTGTACTCCAGCTGTCATAGAGAGTAAAAAATAACTATGCATAACAGAGGAGCAGATAAAAAGACTGAGCCTGAAGGACTGTTTTCTATTTTTCAGATAGAATTTACATATCATATCGTATTTACAAACACACAAAGCTGTGCGTTACCTGTGTGTACATATCTAAGCTGTTAGATAAGTATTTGATTCAGTGCGCAGAACAGAAAAAGCAGTGCATGCAAGTATTTTTCAAGGTACTCAGACATCATCTGAGATTCTAAAGAGAGATTAGTCTACTTGATCTTACACCACAAAATAGAGGTAGTGGAAATACTGAGTAATGGATCACCCCCAAATCAGCATGTTAGGTGGAAAATCAAAAGCCAAACCTATTTCCTCCTCTTTTCCCGCATCTTCGTACACAGTCACAGCATCGTAAGAGCAATCTTCATTCTCTTCTACTTCAAAAGACTGATAGGTAAGCTTTCAAGAAAAAAAAATCTGTCTGTAAAGCTTTCAARAGAGAAATTCAAAGACTTATTATCAGTCTTTAGTGTTTCCAATGATTCCTTTAGAATGTGGGGTTCGTGTAATTCAGACCTGTCAGGGGTGATATGCAGCACACTACATTTGCCAGAAGAACTTCTCATAATAAAATTTAAAATGAGAAATCCTATTTTACTATAATATAAAGGAGAAACCAAAACCCATCTGTCTTTCAGGGAGAAAAGTAATTTCTCCTAATTGCATCCACCAGTTTTATTCAAGGTTATGTTGCTAGATCTTGCTTTCCTTAGCTGCATGATTTGCATGTTGTTAACTAAAGAGTACCCCCTTCCATTCTGTAGATAAAAGAAGAGCTCATAATATACCTTGATTACATGATCTTTTGGAGCAAAAACAACCCACTGACAGTTTGCCAGGTTGCTGTAGTGCTCTGGATAGTGCATGCTTTGTAGCACTCCTTCTTCAAAAAGAACAGCTAAGGACTCACAGCCAGAATCTGTAAATCCAAAGGCAAACAAAAATGGAAACACAGTGATTTCCTATTAAATCATTCACACACACACACAATTCAGAGAAAAAAATATATTGTGCTGCTTTCACACAGGTTAAAGAGRACAGGTATAGAAGAGCAAGCCAAATCCTTCTGCCTGAAAAACATGCAATGAAAATATTTCATCTCTGTTCCCAGGCAGAGAGTGATTTGACCCACAGCTGTAGCATTCCTCCTTTGCTGCAGCTAGGACACTGCAGATACAGGTGCCTGTGCAGGGCCAGGCAAGAGCAGGGCATGTTTCCTAACTTGCCCACATGCCATCTGTCTTTGGAGACAGGGAAGGAGATAGAATCTGACATAAAGCTAAGGACAAGACAACAAGTACAGGAGGGCTTTTTTCAAAAGCATCAACTGGAATGCCCAACTCTTTCTGGCATTCCAGTCTCTCCGTTACACTTCTCTATAGAAAAAGCATAGGAGCTTCCTCCAACTCGTTTTCTTAAGAACTCTTTTCTCAGGTCACCACTCAGGAGTGCAGTATGGCAGACAGGTATATTACTTAGACTTACCAGGAAGAGTGTCTGGTGCAAGAGCTGTGTAGGTCATGGAAAACCCAGTTCCATTATTCTTGCTGTCAGACACAAATTTTAGCCTTACACTACTGGAGCCAATCAAAATAGGTAATGGAAGATCTTCTCCACAGAATTTCCCTGAAATACATTATTAGAGAGCAATCACTATTCAATATCTTTAGGAATCTGACAAATCTACAAGTACTATTTCTGTAAATCTTCAGACCCAGTATTTGGTTATAAAAGATCATAAAAGAATGAAAAGGAAATTGCCTGTCCTTTCCTCTATATGCTTTATTAAGCCGTCAACCAAAATTGGATGGTATTAAAATTTTAAATGCTTGACACCAGCAAGCCATGCACTAAGAAAGTTCCCTACAAAGCATTTTTTCCATTTTTCCACTCTTTTTTCCTCCGATCCTCTTGTCTTTTATTTTTTATATATATACATGTATATATGTATATATACATATATATGTACATATACAAGTATATATACACATGTACATATATACATACAAGTGTGTATATATATACACACATATAAAATATCTCATTCAAGACGAAAATGAGAGTAACACAAGATCAAGTGCAGTGTTGTCACTGGGTTTAGCAGTGGCACATCACTTCAGCAACTCACCAACAAGCCTGTCATCTTCCGAATAGACTGATAAAGAATCATAGTCACAAAATGTTTCTGACTCTATATCAAAGTGGGAAAAACGAAGCAATATATAATTCCCTTCTGGCGCAAGCAGAGTCCATAGACACAATCTGGAATGACAGAGGAATTCTTGTTCAAAAAGCTGCAACAAAATAAGAGCTCACAGTTACCATGAACTGTTTCTTGGAGAGACTGCATTTTGTCTACTTACTGGTGGTTTTGATAGAAATGCTCCGGACTTTCAGGAAAATGTAATTCTCCTTCACTGCTGGGGAGTTTGCCATCCTGAGCACTACAAAATGCTGCATTGTGGAGTTAAAATGAAATAGCAGAAATCAGGTTCAACACATATGCAATCATCTTACACCAAAAAGAAAATGTGCACTTAAAACATATATTTGCTGTATTTTGATGAATCACGCTATAATTGTTTCTCACTTGMTAGATTACACAACAGTCCTTTTGAAAATTATTATTCAAGCTCTGATGCATGTAGATGTTAAAAATATTGTACTCACCTGTGGAACTTTTCATTTTCAGTTCTAAATACAAGCGGGAAAGAGAAGGGGTGGAAAAGAATAAATTACTTTGGTTTTATATTCACAATAGACTTCGCTTTTATCAGTGTGAAATGGCAATTCCACACCGCCAGCAACGCAGCAAATTCCAATGCTTTCCAGGTACCCTGTGTCCACAACACGCTAGGTTTGCCCTTAAACAACTTCAGACAACACTGGCTTCGAATAAAGCAGCTTTGGAGCAGCTGCTGCTGGAATTAATGGTGCATTGTCAGGGTGCTGGTCAGCGTGAGCAGCACCATCCTCTCTGGGCACTTGCAGGGCAGGGAAGGGCAGCAGAGCCCAACTGAGAGCGTCTCATCAGTGACACGGGGACACTGAGCCTGGTGGCCATCACGGACAGGGTCCTCTGCACCAGCGTGGCAGAGAAATACATCGGAGAGCAGGCAAGAGAAACCCAGTGTGGAACCACGTCCTGGCTAAGTGTTCCTTGGAAATTCTCAATAAAAATAATTTCTTTCTTTTTTTTTTTYTTTTTTTTTTACATTGAGAACAAAAAGGCCTTCAGAAGCTAAAGCCTTTTCAGTTCTCTGTCACTATAAGTGTTTCTTTTTACTTTTTTTTTCCTGTCACAAATTGAAGTTTGCTAATAGGAAGTTTTGTTGTTTTTTTTCCCTCCAAGMTTATTTCTTTTTTTTCTTTTTGAGCTCTTTTCAGTTTTCCATTATTCCTCAGAAATTTTAATGCAATTTCCAGTATCTTTTGAAGAAAACAGCCCCTCAACAGATTGTCATTTATATCTTCAGCTCTACAACTTTAGAAATCACAGAGAATCCTCATCCTGTTCATCTACATAGGTAGCCTGCAGCACTCAAAGCAGTGCGATAAAATATGCTTCTTAAAGCATCACCTTTCCCTGCCTACTTTTATGTCCAATTCAAAACATTTTATATGAGAAAAAATAGCAAATAATTTCCAAGTGGTGTGTATGCATTTTCTGACACTCTCCAACCAGTGAAGTTTAAAAACAAAGTTCCAGGCTAGTTGGCTGGTTGGATAAAAGGACTCCTTCAATACTAAAATATATATGTCTGTATATATAGTCCAGACAGAGGTCAGAGTGTAAAATTTAGAATATTTGATTGCTTTTGACAATTACCAATCATATTTAAAGGCATTGTGAGAAGCTATAATACTTTGCCAGGAAGTATGGGGAACATATAAGTACAAACCTTGAAGAACCTAAATTTAAAAGTACTATTACGAGACAGAAGAGTTGGTACAGAAGACAAATTATTTCTGAGACTTTTTACCAGTACTCATATTTTCTTGAATCCAGGGCAGCAGTGCACTGAGGTCTGTAAAAATCCCTGGAGATCCTCTTCTGTAATGTAGCTTCTTCTCGTTACTCACCCAGCCACGAGCACATCCCATGCCCCAGGAGATGACCCCGGCGAGGACCCAGGCACCGTGCCTGCGGCGGCACAGAAGAGGACCCCCGGAGTCTCCCTGTACAAAACAAGCACAAACCTAGAATCAGCACGGCTCTCCTCACAAAAACATGTGCACAACATTGAGCCAGCCTCCAAGAGTTTCTCGAGCTCTGTTTTAGACCATAGCGTCAAAACTACCCTACAAAATGAACTATGAATCATTAAAAAAAGTGAAGAAAGACTTTTTGATTGTGTTTAGCCAGGATTTTTATAAAGGAAGACTAATTGACTCAAAGGTACATATCATCTGCTTTATTTCAGCATTAAAGATGGAACAAGGAGCTTTTTTCTTCCATTTCATTTTATAATGCATGATGAACAATCACTCTGCTTTCATCTCGCTTCTTTTCCTTCCTGTAATCAAGACGATATTTTCTTACCTTCCTTCTGAGAACATTAGTAACATTCTGAAGTTAGAAAGCCATAAATATTATTGCACTGGGATACACTGCAAAAGACAGGGCCTTCAAATCACAATTACTCTCAGGACTCTGTTGTACAATGCATGCAGTAATTAAACTGGGATCATCTTATAAGTAGATTCCCCCCTACAAATCTTCTTAAAGAATTTGCACACCRCATGAATACATCCCAAATATTGCCATACACAGCACATCTATCCACTCATTCACACAGCATGTTGAGTGTCTGAGAAACACTTGTACATACACAAGGCCCTCTCCTCAACTGACCTGGCAGGCATCTTTTCCTCCATCTGGAAATCCAGCACATATAATAGTGTCATCTTGGATAGGCTTCCTTAAAGTTGACAATACTCTTGAACACTCCTTACTGTTTAGGATTGGTAGATTGACCTCATATAATACCTGAGGCAGTACACCATCTGAAACACAGGCACACAAAAAAAGAATTTGCCCCAAAGAGTTAATGTTAAAGAGTTAAAGTTAATGTTAATACTAGTGCACAAAAAGATATGAGCTGCAGTCCTGCTTGAGAACATTTTCAATGGTCACACAGCCAGTTACATGTGCATGAAAATAAGTTGTTTTACTTGAGTAAATTTAAAAGTGTCTCCCATGTTAAATACAGGTCCATATATTACAGTAAGTTATTTTGAGGCAATTCACACATAGACATAAACAATTCCTGTGCCTAGTTGATGGTTCCTCCTGGTCCATAGCCCATTTAAGCTTTTAGTTTCAGAAATAAGATGTTTTGGTGCAATTTTCAAGAAAACATCTAAAATTGAATAAATAAAACCAACATGAGAACTTCACTGAGCCAAAAACATCTGCCTGCTACATAGAGATGGGAGTGTTGTAGAAATCATTGTCCATTACAAGAGGAGGAAGAAATAAAGAAGCAAAGATTGTAGCAGACACTGTGAGAGAACAACTCCAGTAGCTTACTCTCGTGCAAACGGCCCCAACCACAAGCAGTGCAGATAAATCCTGCTTCAAACTTTTCACCGGGATCAGGAAGACATGCTGGCAAAACTGATGTACCTGTGGCAGATAGATATGGAGTTGCTTAATAAATACTGGAGAAAAAAAAAAAGAAAAAAAAAAAAAGAAGCTTTTTTTCCTCATCCAGTTCTTCAAAGATAAGGAATATTCTCATTTATGTGGCATCTGAAGAATGCCACAAAGACCAGACAGTCTGGCCTTTGACATTTTTTCCTGTGCTGTTACTGCATAGTGTATCAGAAAACAAAACAACAGCTCTCAACATCCTTGTGATGCGAACTTGAATCTACAGAAGAGCAACATATTATTTCTATAGTTTGGACTCTTCTCTGCACTTCAATATCAGGTAAACCTGAGGAAGAACAGCATTCCAAAAGAAAACAAACAAACAAAAAGCCTGTAAGGCAAAGTTACTCTACATCTGAGAAATAGCTGGAAAATAGCTGAGGAAACAGAAACAATTTCTTCTGTCATTTTTCTCTTTCCTTAGAGCTTCCAAACAGACCTTTCAGTCAGTACTAAAGATAATTCCATGCAATCTGCAGGAGGGAAAAAGAGAACGAACAGCAGAGGGTGCAGAGACAGGGAGCACTGTGATATGCTCTGAACTCTGACCTTGCCTTTGACCAGCTCTACTGTTCTCCTGATGCAGAAGTCTCCACATACACCTCCAGATCAACAGCAAACAAAAACATCCTACACTGTTACTTGGCCAAATATTAATATTCTACGTACGAAGAACAATACCTTTTTCTTCAAGGGGACGTTAAGTCTCCATCAGATTATTAAATACAGCTGATATATCTTCCTGACTTACCTCCAGTAAGTTAAATACTTCAGCTGCAAACTACTTGGGAAATTTGAATTATATAATACGGTAGCTGAGAAATTGGTATAAACTCAGTGTCAAGACTTTTCACAGCATCTGGGAGAAAGGGAGGCTTTACCTTCTTCACTGTAAAAGATCACAGGTAACTATGGCCTTACTGAAGTTGAAGGCTCCATCCAGCTTCAGAAGGGCAATATCATAGTTCATTGGTCTCCTGGGGTCAAACTTTGGATGCTTAACGACATATTTAACAGGCAGTGTCTGCTCTCCAGGCTCCCTGATCCTCAAATCATGCTCTCCTGCAGTGATCTTCAAATCCTGAAGTAAATTCCTATAAAACGACAAAACAAAATTTCAAGTAAACAATCTTCAAAATGAAATGAAAATACGTTTTCCAATGAATCATGAAAGATGCATAATATCTTCAATCTTAAGATTTTAGAGCATTTAATGTTTAAAGTTAGAACAAGCTGACTACRCCCCCTACAGCAGAAACTGAGATATGAAAAAGATCGAGAAGAAAATGTAATTYAGCCACGCTCCTCTGACAGTGGTCTGTGGAAGAAACCGCTTGTGGTCCTGCATTTAAAAATATTCACTCATACTGCTTTCTGCATGGAGAAGGAAAGATTTGGAAACAACAAAGCATAGGAAAAAAAACAGAAAGAGAGATATGCCACTTCTCTAGCATTTTTCAGTTTATGCCTTTAAACATAGCGGATCCCACTTGAGGGCTCCTAATACAAATCAAAATGTGAAGTCATGGAATATAAAAGCAATCCATATAAATTTGCTTTTATGTTTCAAACATATAACATAAACTCTGCACATATTGCCTAATTTGACCAAGACATGATTGCTTATCATACCTGATATAGATCTAATTTATAATTCCAAGTACAATTATGGAATTATAATTCCATAATTTATAATTCCAAGTACAGTTTGGACTTGGACAACTGAACAATAACAACAACTGTACAAGGATTCAGTGTTAACTATAACGGAACTAGAATCTCTGTGAAACCCTAACAGAATCAGGACAAAAATACCAACTACTACATTCCCAGCCCTTATGGTTTTCTTCTTTAACACTAACATTAYACTCCCCCAGAATGAGCCTCTGCCCCATATGGGAAGTCTATTTCACCCTTCACCACTTTTGAAATCCTTACCAGTTTTGCTTTTTCTCTCCCCTTGTGTTAAAACATGGAAAATGTTGGTGACCAATGAAAGAGCAGCACCTCTAGTAACCTCCCACAAGGAGGATGCTGTCACACACACACACTTTTCAAACTGACACACTTTCCCTGCACCTGCAGCTCCTGAAGCATCACGTCCCTACCTGTCCAAGACGCAGTGAGCGGCCGTGACCACCCACTGAGCAGAAACAATGGTGCCTCCGCAGAAATGCTTCTCCCTTCGCTTCAAGGAAACCTGCATCGTAGAAAGCCCAAGTCAAGTAAATAATATCTTTATCAGTTAATCTGCTTGACTGCATTTGAGGAAGGAAGAAAAGAGAACTTGCATGAACTCTTACACAACTCACACAGTTAAAATTCATGCTGCACTTCAAGAAAATTTTGTGGCATTCTTGGAGTTCTTGAGTCTAAGAGGTCCTAAATCCCTTGTTATTCCCCTCAATCATGACTTGGGGACATAAATGGAAACAACATATATGTAATAAATGCCAAGTCACTGAGGCACCCAGCAAACTGGAAAGGTTACTAGTTCATTCGGCATTTCTCCTTGGCAGGGCGCTGGGAGCACTGCAGAGCAGGTGACAGTCCCTGATGCCATGGCTGTTGTACTATTTGTTTGCAATCTTGAGCCATCAAGCCGCACACAGGGTCCTGCCTTCCAAACTGTAAACTCACAGTGCAGGGCAATGGTCCACGGTGCTGGTGGTGGCAGTGGCAGGAAGGTCTTTCCTGAAAGGGTCACCCYTGCCTCTTTATGGAAGACTGATCTACAGATGCTCTTTCAGAAACAAGGATAAATATAAAGGCTTTCTCTGTGGCTGGAAAGGATCACTGCCCTGTGTGCTTTCACTGCTTTTGATAAAAGCAAGATGGAGCTCAACGATTTTGATATATATCAAAAGTGTCAGCAAGCACAATGTACACCTGCTTTTTCCTTTTGTTATTTCTAGGAAAAGTCAGGGCTCTGTTCTGACAATAAAACCACATTTGCTTGTGCAAACCTGCCATGGATGCGAGCCTCGTTTCACCTGGTTTCCCCCAACAATGCGCGTGAAAAGGTTAAAGTAACTCCACGGCTTTGTCTCATGAAATTTCTGCCCACACTTCGGATCTGAGGAGTAAAAAGAAAGGAAGGATTATTCTGGATTTATTTTTTCCTATTTTTTAGGAACATATAATTGGTAGGCATGCTCTGTGGCAGAGGTCAGTGCTATCCCTCTGCCACTGCAGGAGCCACATTTTTTAATCTTTTATATAAATTGTCCAAGCTAAAGATATGAATTTAGAATTTAATCTTTTTTTTCCCCCTAGTCATCAGCRCCCCAATCTTTTTCACCATTTGAAAAGTTACATCACAGAGAGAGGAAGAAGGACACAGACACAAAATAAAAAACTAGGATTTAGCTCTTATTGGATTCTAGGATCCAAATCCTAGGATTTTGACACTAAATTAGAGAACAGATCAGATCCACAAACTAGAATATTCTTTTTTTTTTTTTTAACACTGAATCTATTCTCTCAATACACAAGATTTATATTTTGAGTAACACTAAAATCTTCTGTGACAATACATCTTTAATATGCCAAAGGAATCCAGACTAGTTTACAGACTATTTTAGGACCAATTTCTAAGTCTTTGGTTAGATGAGACTTTGGTCATATATAAACCTGAATCACATTTATATGCAGGGCAGAACAGTGAACCAAAAGAATACCAGTCTATAGAATATACCTTGGAGTGCTTGAGATCACAACTTACTAACACGCTTTAGACACCAGGCTTCTTTTGACAGCCAAAATAGATCTAATCGAAAACAAGTTTGTTTTCCTAGATACTGCAATTTAAAATAGAGGGGTGGGGGGGGAAGGTCATACAAACAGTCTACGATTTCCATTTCAGTTGGTTATAAATTATTAAGTCTATATGATGGAATCATTAATTGGGTCAAGAAAAGTATATTCTGCATTTTAAAATAAAAGACATGATATTCTTGCAGGACTTGCTGCATTTTGTTTGAAGCCCACAAGAAAAATGCAAACCAGGATCTTCATTAACTTACTGTAAATCTATCAGGATTTAATCCATTTAGGTAGTTATAAATTATGTTTATGCAATTTTATTTCAGATTATTAAAAAGTTAGACAAAAATTTCATAAGAATTTCTCATTAGAAGATAGCCGTCAATTCCAGACTTGGAACAAAAGCAAAGAATTAAAGGCAGATAAATTATTTTAATGCTATCTGTATCTAGGTCTACAAGCCCTCAGGGTCAAATTCTCAAGGGGTTTAACTAGTCCCTTCCTTTCAACATGGACTTTAGGCAATTTGTCTCTGTCTAAAAACATAAAACTGGACTATTAAGAAAATTGTTAAAGGTAGATGTCAAATTTGGATCCTACCTTTCTGAAGAGGGGATGGTAGAGCAAGAAGCTCTGTAACACAAACTATGCTCGTCAGGAGGAACAGCAGCTTACTGGGGGCAATGGACATCTTGGGTGCTAAGTGACCGACTGAAAACAAGAAGAGTTTTTATAGGAAAAAAGAAGCCCATAGATTATACCGCCACAGAGCAGCAATTGACTAATTGAGGCAGAGGTTACTCATTAATCCACCCATAAAGCACTTACCTGCCCCTATGATTTCTTCAACTTCTGATGAAGTCTATACTCTCTGCATACTTTATATTTAGCTGATTTCTCAGACCTGAGAAACACAACAGAAGGTGATCACTGTGCTGACAGCGTGCTCTGTGCTGTACAAGACAAAGATAGTGCTCTGGGGCACTTGTTCAAAGGAGCAGAGTTATACCCCATTTCCAAAAAGTAACCCAGGAGAGCATGGCTCAGCTTCCTAAAAGGATTTCAGTATTGCTGCATTCAGTAGGGCCAGTTCCAAGTCACCTTCATGGCCAAATCCCATTTCTCTAAGTGCAAGTCTCCTAGAAAGCTACCTGAACCCTAAAAAAGGAACTCTGCASCTGAATTAAAGAGATGCCACAAAACAGTATGCTCGAATTACCCTGYCAGTTCACTGCTGAAGGCTTTTGTATCATCAGTTTTAGCACCTATAGTTGAGAATCTCGGTCTCCTCTGTCTCTGTAAAAAAATAATTGAATATTCCCAGCCTTGACAACGCCACAAGAAATAGTTTCTACTTGGAAAATGCATCAAAATTTTAAGAGAAAATGGCATAAATAATACATGCATATCAACATGGATTTAAGTTTTGAACAACTTCTTAGACTTGCCCTGTAGGAAAATTACATTTTTTTCAAAATGCCAACAGGCATCAGCTTCTCTCTTTATTAACACAAGGGAAAAGATTTATGGGATTTAATTCTGCTCAGGCTCCCACAGAAAACAATCTTATAACCYGACCCATTAGTCCCAGTTTACTGAATGCACTCTCATATTTGATCAGGGACTTCACAGTATCCTCTGATCCATCACCAGTCAACAGYCCAACAAACATTTACATATATTACTCAGTTGTAGAATTTGTTGCTCTTTTCTTCCGAGGACAGCAGCAATCAGGTCTTACTCTGAAAACACACCACCAAAACTAAAATCACCTTTGTCCCAGAAACTCTGAGCTGCTGTTTTTTTGTTGCAAGAACACAGAACTTGTGAAAATTGCAGTTTTCTTCCTGGTCTTGTGATAATCCCCAGTTCCACAAGTTCTGCATTATCACCCTCACTCTATACAGCTAAGAGCAGGTGTATTCGAAACCATTAAACACCACTGTCTTTCAGCAACTCCTCTGTATTTTGCAGGGACAAAATGTCCCGCTTCCTGACATATCCACAACCCACAGACTTCTCTGACCACCCACACAATGATACSCGTTGGAGCAATGCCATCCAAGAGGCTGATTTAAAAAAAATAGAGCAAGCAAGCTCTATTAGGAGGGACACTGTGTAAACAGCCCCTGTCACATTAATGATGAGAAACTTCCGGCCCGCGGGCAAAATACAGCAACAATCGTCTTGCTTCCAGCTCCTGGCAGCGAGGCAGCACTTACTGTGCAGCAGCCAAAGCGCTCCAGGAGCAAAAGCAGGGAAGAGCATGTCCCGTACAACCAGTCCCGGGCCTGGGATGATGAAGGAGCAGCGCAGACTTTCTCTTCCAACTGCTCTGGTTCTTTTGCTTTGCTGCCTATTGCTCTCTTGCCTTGTGCGTGCAGTAAATAACAGTAACAGCTTCAGAGGCACCGATGACCTCATCTGCTTTCCCCACTGGGTAGCTGCTATTGCTCCTAAAACTCGCAGCTCTGGCAACCAGCTCCACCAGCACCGTTCCTCCAAGAGAGGCAAAGATCAAGTTTTGGGAGTTGATCTCTTTCTACCCATGTATTCAGAACACAAACACAGAGCTGGCTTCGTATCGCCCCACTAGGCCCTGTGTTTCTCTAATAACACAAGCCAAAGTCACTAAATCACAGTGTCCAAAATGACCGTGTGCCTGAAATCTAGACCTGCTTCACAGCGTAACACGTTAAACCAGTGCCAGCGTAGGGGCACTAATCAAAGTGAGGCAGCCTGGCCAATCTCCTCCTCTGTTGTGCAGCTGATTTACAGACTTTTTAGTCTCCACAGTATGGTTGACGCTATGGGATTGCATATAGCTGCTTCTTCCTCTGAGCATATTTCAGATGTACACATTTTTAGAATGTGAAGCTTAGGGGAAGAGGGAATGAGGAGTCAAGGATGGGGAGTGGGAAGGATAAAGTGAGCAGCAAATGCTGCTTAACAATTGACCTGCTGAAAGATCAGTGGAAAAGAGGTATTTAAATAGGAGGGTTTTCTTGTTGTTTTTGAACAAAATAAGCTGTGTTTTTAAAGGTCGCTAGTCGCATCTAAACCACTCGCAAGGTCACTGCCAGAAAACTGGAAAACCTGTCAGTACAATAAAATTAATAATTTCATATATTCTAAACATGATATAACGGCTTTAAAGAATCATAAAATAGCAAACTCCATCAGCTTTATCTTCATATATTGCATTTATCAATCTAAGAGTCCTTAGCTAAAAGCACTGTAGGTTTAACAGGGTTTAAATGTTTTCAGGTTTTAATAGAGGTGCACATGAACAYGGACTTGATTAAAATTACGTCCCATTTGGACTTAACCCATTATTGCTTAGTATTTCCCCAAACGAGCAAGATATTAAGAGGTGGCTACAAGATACTAAACAACAGCCAAACAAAAATCACTTCAGTGTTAAAGAGTTTTATACATGTAGGCTCATCTCAGAGCAAAAGCATGGTGTTCTGCCAGGTCACACCTTCAGAGGGGATTCATGCAGCTGGGATTCATTACTTTCAGACGAGCAGATATCATCTGCCATCTATCCAAAAAGCAGTGCTGACAGCTGATTGCCAGTGTACCAAACATACAACAAAAATGAAATGAAATCAAACAAAGCAAATATTTCTTAAGGATCCAAAAGCCTGCAGTGTTTGTTAGTTCCTAACTGCTTTAAGCCAACCAAGTTTTGGCTTCTGGCAAAGGGGCAGTTGGGCACCTCTCCCATGAAGGTGCTTCTTGCTGCCCTTCTCCTTGGGCTGGCCCCAGTTCTGGTCAGGCTGTGGGGAGAGCCAAATTCTCATCTGTACTCATCTACCTGGATTTGCTTGTAGCTGGATTGCCTTCCTGATCAAAGCAACTGCTTTGAACTCTGAAAACTTGAGTGCTAGTGTCCATGCAAAGGAGGAAGCCTGAATGCAGACACCAGAGACAGATCAGTCATTTCTTTTCCTGTTTGCAGCCTCTGCTTATAACTTCATGGTGCCTAAAGCAATCACAAAACTGCACGCAGACTCCACTGGCCTTTAGACACAGTATTGTCCTAAAAACAGACTCATGAGTTTTCAGTTCAATACTATCCTATCCAGTTCTGGTTAGTGAACATATGCCTCAGCCAAATGTTCTGCAATGTTCAAGCACTATCAACAAGACTGGGCTACAAAGTCCACTTTCTTAGGGCATGAAGATGCTTGAAAGGCCAAAGCAACCCTAGAAACCTTCAGCAGCACAACACACATTTAAACATCCGTCACCTTGTGTCTCCACAGCTCAAGCCGGAACGTGGCTGCCACCCCTGTGTAACTTGCAGCCAGTCCCCATGCTTTCAAGCATGACTCCAGCCACCGTGTCAGATTCCCTCGGATGCAGACTGCTCTCCAAGACTTTGCTCTTTCAACACCTCCTCCCCCGCCACCACTGTGCTCCCATTAGAGTCTTCAGCATCCTGCCTCACTGGGGGACATTTAGCTATGTTTTATCGCTTCTAATCAACTCAAGTGAGGATTCAAAGGCCTCAGTAAAACAAGAAAGGCTGCCTTCTGACAATGTTTTCACTCTGACTTGCCTCATCCTCCTAAATTCTTACACTGACCTTTCAGGGCACACAATGCAGTGCACAATAGCAGGAATGTTGAAAAGGTTCCTCGACACAACGAGAACCTGCAGAAATCCCACCCCCCACCCCAAGACCTTTCTCCCAGAACATTTGGACTGTAACTCAARCTTCTGGATACGCATCAAGCTCTGCTGGAGTTTCCTGTGCAAGAAGGAGAGCAATTTCAGAGGAAAATGCATCGTGTTCTTTGCCATTATGCAAAGTGGCATAGTTGCTATGCTAGCCAAAAGTAATTGGAAACCAACAGAAAGAAACAACACCTGTTGCCTTCCCCACTTTTCACAAAAGCTCCATTTTTCCTGCTCTCAGAGCTCACCAACACACAGGTAGCTCACACACAGGCCCACGAACTTGTCCCTGCAGCAGACGGTGCTGTGAAACACGTTCTACATTTGCAGTTAGGGCTCCTGASAGTTACCTTCCCTTTTGAGGTAAATGAGACCAAACCAAGATGAACAATATCAATATATAGAAAGATACTGCAGGGTATGTGAAAAACGTGTTAAGCTTTCCCTGGATAGAATACAGCCCTACATCTACTATATAACTAATTAATTGGGAAGGATATGGGAAGGAAGGGAAAAAAAAGCAGCTTCTCTACTCTTGGGGACTCATCCTGAGAAGCGATGACTGGGCACACTGAATTTTCAATGTCTAAACACCTGTTCTGATGACGCATTTCTATGATGGCTAAATGATCATTTTATCATGGATCAGAAACAATTCTTGAATGTAACAGCTAAGTTAAGACAGATCTTGGAGCATATCCTTTTGATGACTTTTTTTTTTCTACTGGGTATTCAGAGTTTTATATTGACGAGTGACAGATCAGGTGGGAGAAAGAGCCATACAGTCTCTTTTCCTGTATGAAACAAATAAGAGTGAGACGACAGTCCAACCCTGCTTTCTCCAGCTTTAGGTTCTCTTGCCCCAGAAATACACTGGCAGCAGGCTTCAAAATAGATTCAAAATACTGCAAAAAGCAATGCCTCAAAAAAACAACCAAACAAAAAAACCACCCAGCAATTATCTACTACATAGAAGATACACAGAATAATTACATCAAATAAGCTGTACATCTGAAATTGATATATAACAGATTCATGGTCCAAAATATACCTAGCAAAGTAAATTTTTTTGATTTTTTGGAAAGCACAATGAATGTATTTTAACATTCAACTTTAACAGGGGAAAAAGCATTGACAGTGTTACACTGCTAAAGCACATGC